AACTGATCCCTTCACACATATACGAGAAAGATTATTATATTTAATGCAGTAACAGTTAAAAATTATAACTCAATATGTAATGTTACATTAATGTCATATTAATTCAATTATTAGTAAATATTAAGTAATACTATATTAAATAATAATATTTTTACTTTCTTCGATGTTCACTTTATTCGTGTAAATTATTATTACATATCGCAATACATGTAACCATAAGTAACAGCAGGCATTCATTATGTCATTGAGAATAGTTTTACTTTACTAATTATTATATTTTTCATTAATTATTGAAAAACTCACAAAATGTTAAAAGACTTTTTATATTCAGTTTAACCGCTTATCAATAAAACTTTCAAAATCCAAGTGATGTATTATTTGATAGATTATATATAAAAAATTTCATATTACCATCATACTATCTGATATAAAACCTTTTACTATAAGGAAAGGACAAAGAATATGGATATCAATTTATGGACTTCATCATGATCCTAAATATTTTTCAAAGAAATTTGATTTCGAACGATTTCTTGGTAAGCGCAAGAAAAACAATCTCGACTATGGACCCTAACTTCCTTTTGATTTAAATCTCACAAAATGCATAAATAACAGATTCCCATTGCTGGGAAAGAAGATTGTGCTTTTTCACTTTCTAGTATGTTGCGAATTGAAACCTTGTGAAAAGATAATGATTCTGATAAAGGTAGTTAAAAACTATGTTTTTATTTCGAAATCTTAAGATGATTTCTAGTTGGATGTGACACCCAGGAAAAATACGCATCATAGTTAATGTTGTGAATAGAATGTTAAGTTGTAAGGAAATTTAATTTAATTCATTGTGCTATAGAATTTATAATTGTGAATGTATCAAAAAATAAAAATTAAAAAATTTTCTATCATTTTGTTAATTAATAATATTGTATCAATAAAACAAAAATGTATAATTTGTAATAGAACAAGTTTTTAGTTTTAGTCAAATATGAATACTTTGTATAATTTTATGAAATTAAAAATTTAATATTCAAATATTAATATGCACTGCAACAAAATAAAAAATCTATTGCAAAACATATTAGGATAAATAGAAATACAGCTTATACAGCATTATATAGGTTTATTATTTTTGACTTTTCGATAAGAAAATATTTATACTGATGCATAAGATTCAACAAAGTAAAATTGCTGAATCATTAATATTTATATCTTAATATTGTAATGCTAAAACGATGTGATTATCGCAAGAAACGCAGAAAACATGTTCAAGTGTTATTAATTAATAAGATAACAAAAAATATAAAAAAGGAAAGAACGAGGAGAGCGGCGTTATAAGTATATGATATGTGTGTGAGTGTGTGTGTATGTGTAACGTAGTTGCATTTGATATTTACAGTTTTATAATTTATTATGAAGTATGAGTTGCAATTAAATGTAAAAATTATAATTTTAATAAATATCTAATCAGTTTATATCTAATTATTATTCTGATATTTTCTTATCCCAATTTCTGTGTACATTATTTCTTTGTTTCAGAAAATCACAACATTTTTATATAAAAATATTCTTTGAACAACAAAAACAATGTTATTATCTTTCACTAGAAAATGATAAAAAAAGACGATATGAAAATACTAAAGATCAAGTGTTACTTATCATCTTGTGTGCGTGTGCGTATGCGTGCGTGTGTGCGGCGCGCGCGTACGCGCGTATGTGTGGTGTGTGTGTGTGTGTGTATGTGTGTGTGTGCGTGTGTGTGTGTGTGTCATGATAATTCCTAACTTACGACGTAAATCTTCTTTTTACATATATAAAATCAATTTGTTATTATAATTACTTAAAATTTTCCTATTATACATTGTTGAATTTTTTGAAAAGTATTTTCATATTTCCCATATGTTTAAGATAGAATATATTATGTATAAAACAAAATATTATAAAAATATTATATGTATAAATAATATTGATAATTATTGCAAACAATTGACGAATCACATAAAAATGTATGTACATTACATTAACATATTATGAACTATTTTACTTATATTATAATACTAGCTCAACTAAAATCTTTTTAATATTATGTTAAGCTTTTTATTTGCGTTCATGCCATTTTTTAATATTAATTTAAACTCGCTTTGCTCTACTTAAGTATTCTATATCTTAAAATACAAGTTATTGAATTAGTAGAGAAATACTCCATATACATATTATCTCTACAAAAAAATTATTATTATATACAAAACAATTACTGACAAAGAAAAGATAAATCTAAACATACTTATGTATTTGACTATTTCATTAGATTTTGTAATATTGAGACTATCTGTACCAAGATGAATTAAAGCTGTATGTAAAATCCTAGGATTTTAGACTAGCACACTATCATACTTAATAGATTTCTCTCATACGTATACGATACCATGTACGTCGTATATAAGAGAAATATTATTCGTGTGGGTAGTCAGTTGACAGTCAGTCTCTGACGAGTAACGTTAGGCATTTTAATAGCGCCATATTATAAATTCAAATAACAGATTAGTCTAGGAGGCTGCTCGTTACATTCTTCAAGTTCAATGTTGTGTATGTGTGTATGTGTGTGTGTGTGTGTGTATGTGTACTGTGTAAACACAATTAACATCATGATATACATAATCGTTTTATTGATAGCAGGTATTCTAAGTCTTTATTATCTTCTCTTCAAAGATTTAAATTATTTCAAGAAACATGGAATACCGTACGTGAAGCCTTTTCCCATAGTGGGAAGTATGAAATCAACTTTCCTCCGTCGTGAATCAATACCTGACTTTATCAAATCGGTATACAACTTATATCCCAACGCCAAATACATCGGCTTGTATAATTTGAAAAATCCAATTATAATGCTTCGCGATCGTGAGCTTATTAAATCCGTGACACTGAAACATTTTGACATGTTCATGGATCATGTTAGTTTCGTCGATGAAAATCAAGATCCAGTTTTTGGATCTTGAAAAGAAAAAACCTCGCCGTTCTTCGCGGAGAGAGATGGCGTGAGATACGATCTATATTAAGTCCGACTTTCACATCCAGTAAAATGAAAAGTATGTATAAACTGATGTTCGATTGCGGTGTCGACTTTGGCAGTTATTTGGCGCAATTACCATCAGAGGAAAGGATAATGGAAATAAAAGATGTTTTCACAAGATTTACAAACGATGTAATCGCTACTTGCGCTTTTGGTGTTAAAGTAGATTCTATGAGAAATCGAAAAAATAATTTCTATGTGTATGGCACGGAAGCAACCAATTTTACAGGAAATTTAATTTTTTTAAAGATGTACATACTTAAAACTTTGCCCTGGCTTGCACGAATACTTAAATTGACATTCGTTCGTGAAGAGATAGCGAATTTTTTTCGAGAGCTTGTAAAAACCACTATAAAAGCTAGATGAAAATGGTATTGTTCGTCCAGACATGTTACAATTGATGATAGAGAGCAGAGGCAAAGATGGCAAGACAGAATTAACTATCGATGATATGGTATCACAAGCGTTTATTTTTTTCTTTAGAAGTTTCGAAAGTACTTCAACATTAATGTGTTTTGCTGCTCACGAAATTGCGATAAATCAAAACATACATAAAAGACTTCAAAATGAAATTGACCAAGTCTTGGAAGATACGAATGGACAAGCAACTTATGAAGCGGTTAATAGCATGGAATAGACGCTATAATTAATTAAACTTTGAGGATGTATCCGGTTGCTGTAATGTTGGACAGATTATGCTTAAAAGATTTCGAACTACCACCGCCATTACCAGGAATAAAACCTTTTACTATAAAGAAAGGACATGGCATGGATACCGGTTTATGGACTTCATCATGATTCTAAATATTTCGAAGAACCGGAGAAGTTTGATCCTGAGCGGTTTCTTGGTGAACGGAAGAAGGATAATCTCAACTGCGGAGCCTACCTTCCTTTTGGTCTTGGTCCCAGGATGTGTAGGTAACAGATTCGCATTGCTGGAGACGAAAGTCTACTCTTTCAATTGTTAGTACGTTGTGATTTAAAACCTTGCAAGAAGACATCGATACCGATCAAGATTACTAAGAATAGTCTTTTTATGAAACCTGAAGATGGCTTCTGGTTGAGTGTAATACTGAAGAAAAATACACATCATTCTATTACAGCTAATGATATCAATGGGACAGATTAGATGTAAAAAAAACAAAGAAATTAGTTTAATCAAATCTTTAAAAGAACTCTGCACAAAACATACGAAAATAGATCCCGGCTAATTTGGCTGAATTTATTGTAGTTGATTTGATCTGATTGTTCTGATCAAAAGTCTCCATAGGCACAAAATAAATGAACAGTTTTTGAGTTATTGTACATCAAATTCTGTCAAAATCGCCGGGACTCATTTTCGTATGTTTTATACAGGATCCTTTATAATTAAATTAAACTATCTTCTTATTTGTCATTAGTACCCCATAATACTGACTAAAAAGAAAAATTTTTAAGATAAATTGTACAAATATAATAAAAAAAAAATTATATCGTTATACATACATAAAAACTAAAAACTGATATATGTATATGTATATGTATATGTATGTTTTTTAAAATATATATGTATACTCTATATATATTTTAAAAAACAGGCAATATTAGTTAGGAATATTAATTAATGTTAACATATTGTGTTAATATTAATTTTAGAAACTACGACAATAATAATTCGCTAATTTATAGCATATATGTAGTATATATTCTTGAATAATATGTCTGTTATTTAATTAGATTAAATGCATGTTTTGAAATATGCTCAGAAAATCGTGCTAAAAATAATCTGATTTGCGAAAAAGTATTTGCAAGTTTTTATGTGTTATGTATGTTACAATATTACAGTAGAAAAGAAACAAAACTAATATCCTTACTAATATACCTATACATGTGATATATTTTATTAAATTTTATGATATATCGTTTCATTGAAAATATATTGTAGCTGACAATGAAGAGCGAAAATAAAAGGGAAGAAAAAAATTCGCTATCGAAGATATAATGTTGCAAACATTTATTTTTTTCTTAATTGTTTTTGATAGTAATTCGATATGACACTGATTAAGTTTCACAAAATTATCATCGATATCCCAGATAAGTTTTAAAGCAAATTCAATAAATAATACATTGAAAGATTCAAACAGAAAACATTGTTACGAGGCAATTTACGGAATAAAAGTTTTTTGAATCAACAAAACTCAAAACGTATAAGTAGTATCAAACAGAGCATATAAATATATGTAAAAATTTTCAAATTATGGTCTGATCTTTTGAAAAATCTTTACTATAAAAAAAACAAATATCTTATGATATGAATTTATACTAATCCTTTAAGATGACTCCAAACCCACTTTAAAAATCGCAAAATTCGATTCTGAACGATTTCACAGTAAACTGAGATAAAATAACTCTGATGATTTTAACTCTGATGTTTATCTATCTTTCGATTTTTTTTTAGACTGGACAATATGTGATAGATTTATGTTCTTTGAAATAAAAATATTGTTCAATTCAATGTTGCTAAAAATTTTTTAAATAAGATATAAAAACTAAGAAAGATTTCTGAATATGATATAAAAGCATCTATATAATAATTACTTTAGCAACAGATGTTCTAGCAGTAAGTTTTGTGGTCTAACACTAATTATAAGTCAAATGAAAAGATATAATTATAGTATATAATATTTTAAAAAATATTTTCTGTATATATAATTATTGTATGATTAACATAACGTTGATCTGAAAAATTGTTAAATATATCGTTCATTTTTATTTTAATACCTAAAACTTTTTATTTCGACAAATGATAATTTTAATAAAAATTGAGTAGATACATATACATTATTTTAATTGTTTCATTTATATTTATAAATATAGTTATACTAAATATTGTTAACTGCAATTAATATACGTATGAACAAAGAAATAAGGATATTACAAATATTAAAAGGAAAAAAAATGAGAGATGAAGGACAAAAATGAAAAAGTCAAAAGAATACAATTATAGATTTTTTTAATATATAAAGATATATTCCACGAAACAGTTCAGATATTCAGATTTAGTATTGTAACAAATATCGATTGTCCGGTTGTGCGTGTCATGTCTGCGACAGAATCTTGCATTGACCAAAGAGGATCTGCATTGGTTGCACGTTCTCTCATGCAGTTGCATGGTGGATATAACAGTTGTATAATGTATTCGGCTACGTGATTGGGCGTTTCCAGAGACACGATACGAGCTTGTGAATGCCGCTTTAATGAGCGGTCGGAAGAGCGTACGTTCCCTCGGCGACCATTGCTAAAGGAATCGCGACTCGTGGTCTTCGACAGACAAACCAGTTTCTATCAAATAAGATGCTTGCGTGACGCGCTGTTGCTATTGAACCAACTGGACATTTTGTTGCAATTGATCTCGATCATTAAACGCAGTTATCCTTCGGCTACGGAAGTCCTTGTAATTTAGATAATTAGACCGACTGAGCTACTTAATTATCATTAGTCGAATTCTATGTCTAATGCATTCTAATGAGCAAGACAACAGTTAAAAAGGACAAAAAATTTCTACATTTATATCTCGTAAAATAGTCAGAAAACAAAATATGTAAAGATAATATTTTTTTAAAGTATACAGTATATAATCTAAACATGTTAAAAAAGATACGCAATTAAAAGGAAAATTAATTAAAAAGTAACAGCATATAAATTATTTAATAAGTCTTATGTCTTTTTCATAAAAAGTATTTTATAAGTTAAATAAAATTTAATATACATAAATAGTTTGTAGCGCGATTATTCTGATAAAAATAGTTATTATTAGCTTTCTGAGATATATGTTCGAAAAAGTATTCTCTGACTCGATAAAAGTACCCTTTCTAATCTAATTCACTTACTGCCGTTGGAAAGGGACCGCGTGTTGGAGAAGGGCCAAGAATTGATGAAGTGGAGATCATAAGGGTAGCTCGAAACGATGTATTGTCTCGCTACGAAGAAATTGAACAAGGTAAGTGGCAAAAACACTCTTACAATTATTTTCGGAGTTCCTCATACTATGCTATTTACTTGTACTGTAAAATATGCATTCTATCAAATATTAAAATTGAAAAGTTCAACGATTAAATCGATTTATCATACTTATTATCAATACAGATTATTATTAATACAGATTTAATACAGAAATTTATCTCTAAAATTTTATCGTTAAATTTTATCTCTTAGTATACAATATTTTATTTATTCCTGATTATTCAAGAGATTACTACAGTTCTACAATTTTATTTCTAAGTATTTAATGAGCTATATAATTAAAAACCTCCTTTTTACAATCTCGCTTTCACTAAGATTGTTACGTTGTTAGAACTATTGGTTCAACGCACAATAATTTGTCATTTGCAGTTATTAACATACATGCACAACACAGTATATAAATTATTTTACAAATATAATTACAAAAGTAATTACGGGCAAGTATAAAAACGTGGTCAATTGTATGTCGGCCTTATATATAACAGCAAATACTATAGTTATAACTCTCGTAAATTCAAATCTATTCTAATTAAAACGAATTATAAAATATATAATAATAACCTGTTATTTTGTCTGTTTAAATAAAACATGTACTGAATTCATATGTACATTAATATGATAAAATACAAAATTTTTCTTTTAAATAAAAAAAGATACTCATATAATGTTAAATTAAAATTAATATAATCATAAAAATTACATTACAACAAAACTACAAAAGAATAAATTAACTCATCGGCAATATAAAACTTTATTCATTCCGCAATCTGAGTCGTCGAACTGCAGTGCAAATTTTTATATTGTTCCGGTATTGTATAAAAATCTAAAAAAAATTCGTACATATTTATGAAAGTTTTTAATAACAAATTTTTATCATAAAAATTGGATTGTATTTTATTTATTTTTAATGATTTTTAAAGAATCCCTGCACTATCATATCAAAAAAATGACTTTGATTAAATTGACTAAAATTGTAATATAGTACAGTTTTATTATGAGATACTGATTGAAAGTTTCCTTAGACAAAACCATTAAATAGAAATAGATTTTTGTAGCATCTTTAATAGCTCTTCTGAATCTAATCGGACTATAAATCTATAATAAATAAATCTATAAATCTACTATAAATCTAGTATCTTTATCTACTAACTATTTATTTTTTAGTAATTAACTGTACCTTAATACTTTTATGCACAAAATAGTGAGGTAAATCATTTAATATAAAAAAATGTATACATGGTTATTTAAACACATACATAGTTATTTTTTTTTTAAATATGTAGTTTATAAGTATTATATATTGCAAATTTCCGGCGAAGAATAAATTATGACAATTAATCATTCAATTTCGCAAAGTTAAAAGTAAGAAGGAGATATTTATAAATATTATAGACATAGAGATATTTATTATAAATTTTTATAAAAATTTATAACTTAGAAAATTAATTAAGTTAAGAAAGTCTAGAATTGCTCAATGTATATTTTATATAAAGTATTATGCTGTTATAATAAATATAATAAATATATATCTAATAATAAATATATCTATGCAAATGTATTTATTCTCATCATTTTCTTCTTTTTGTTTTTAAATCTATATATCTATATAATGAATTATAAAAAATATTGTTTGAAGAAAATTAATACAATATCTTATAAAAATTGTTACAATTTAGCATTAAATTATATTTCAGCACTTTCAATATTATTAAATATTACTAAATTCAACATTACTAAATTATTAATATTCATAATTAATAACTTTAAAATATCTTGAATTTATTATTATTACATATATACAATACTATAAAATGTACGTTCATGAAGACACATGACGATTTCTGTTACAAACAAATAATTTTTATTATAAATGTAATTTTTTAATAATAACTGTTACTATTTGAAATGTTTTATAAACTTACCAATGTTTTATAAAATTATCCATTACTATACAGACTCCAGCACAGGATACATATTTTTTCTACGCTGAATGTTCAACCAAAGTCCATTTTCCGGTATCATTGACAGAGTTTTGCTGAATTTTATTGGGGATGTAGTTTTCGTGGAAGGTTTTAGCTCACATCGTGCTAATAAATGAAACAGCAAGATTTTAACTTCCAACAGAGCAAACCTGTTAGCTATGCACATTCTTGGTCCTAATCCGAATGGCATGTAACACAAAGAATTGTGCATCTTGTTGTTCAAAAATCTTTCTGGATCAAATTTTTCCGGATTATCATAATACTTTTTATCACGATGAATTGCAAAAATCGGAATCCAAAAAGTCATACCCTTCTTCATGATAAAAGGTTTCTCATCCGGCAATGCGGGTGGTAATTCAAAAGTTTTCTCGCACATTCTTTCTAAGAAAGTGACTGGTGGATATAATCTGAGAGTCTCATTTATCACCGCATCTAAATATTCGAGCCGATTAATGACTTCGTAAGACACTTTTCCATTCGATTCCTCCAAAACCTTGTCGATCTCTTGTTGTAATTTGTTTTGAACTTCTAGATTAGCTGCGATTTCGTGAGCTACGAAAGACATCGCGGTTGAACTTGTATCGAAGCCACCAAAGAAAAAGACGAACGCTTGCGCAACCATGTCATCGATATCTAGTTCTCTACGACTTTCTTCACCTCTGATGTCCATCATTAACTGTAGCATATCCGGGCGTGTAATGTGTTCCGCATCACGAGTGACAATCGTAGTTTTTATAATATCCTTGAAGAAGTTTAACACGTAATCGTTTATAAGCTTTATATTGAGAATTCGTCCGAGACTTGGAAAAGTTCTAAGAAAAATAAATTTCAGACTGCGACTCCCTAAAAAGCTAGTCGCTTCCTTGCCGTAAACATAGAATTTATTCGTTGGATTTTTCATAGAGTCGACTTTGATTCCGAAAGCACACGTGGCAATGACATCATTCGTATATTTAGAGAAAGCATCTTTTATGTTCATATCACTTTTATTCGCTGGCAATGTCGACAGAAATTTAACAAAATCCACAGCACATTCCGACATCAATGTGAACATCATTTTCATTTTGCTGGATGTAAAAGAAGGACTCAACAGAGTTCTTACGTTCCGCCATTTTTCTCCGCGAAGAGAAAACAAATTTTTTGCAAGTAAAGGTTCATTCAATTCGTTAAAACCACGACGATTTGGAAATGCATCGAAATTCTTAACAAGGATAGCCTTAATGAGTTCCGGATCACGAAGCAAGAAGATTGGATTTGTCGTGACATAGATTCCAAAATACTTTGCGTCTTGATTAAAATTGTATATCTTGAAGATAAAATCGAAGAATGACGTTCGACCAAATATAACTGATGCCATAGATCCGAATATTGGAACAGGCGGTACGTGTATCACGCCATGTCTTTTAAAGAAATTAAAATTTCTGAAAAGATAATAAATACTGATCACACCGATCACTATCGATAACAATATAGACCAATATTCCATGACACTTATTTGAAATGATTGCTCTTTATGATTATTGTAAATGATTTTGTTTGATAAAATTGAATTGGCTCAAGAGTGCTAGCGATATTGCCAACGCGAGTCGTTACAGACAACTGTTCGTACAGCAGTTCTTATCTCATAATATACTAGTAATTTTACTTGGAATTCTGATGCAAAAGTTTTCAAGCTGACATACATATGACTTACATAAGATCGATTATTACTATACTTTGTATTGTTCGATGCAAATTAATAAATCTTGGATAATTCTCTTAAGTTATTAATAAAATTTATGTAATATGCAATATTAATATAATAATATCTAACAGCTATTTATCACGCTAGTACGCTAGACGTTATATAGATAAATAGAGATGTGTAAAATTAAATGCTTATATAACAGTAGAAGACAAATAAAAAATTCAAAGTCTCATTCATAATTTGCAATTAAAAATACTAATGCATATACATAAATTTTTGTATTTAATGTTATTACTGTCACATTATTCCAAAGTAATACATAAAATGGTATATATTCGATCAAAAATATTTTTTATTGAAATTAACATTTGATAATATAAAATCGAATAAGATGAAAAATAATAATATATAAAAATATTTTATTTTATTTTATGAATTATTATGTTTT